GATGGCACATAACAACAGCAGCAAAGACAACGGAAAGGTTGGCCCAACCTTGACCAGTGAGGAGAGTTAGCATCACCCAGAGGGGAGGGATGTCAAAGGTTGAGCAGGGCGCAGCATCACTAAACCCAGCTGTGTGGACAGGAGCAGACACACCCAAAGGAAGACCATCCACTTTAAAAGGAATGGGAGCAGGGGGCAGGATGCACACCTCAGAAATTCTTGTGTCATAAAAGACAAAGACTGTGCTTCCCAGTGTTGATGCAGCACTACCCGTGTGGGTTGTAGAGAACTGACTTTCAGTTCTGGAGACTAGAAGTTGGCATCACTCTCTCTGGGTCTGTCTGCCTGTGAGCCTTTCCCCTAGACTCTGGCGGCTTTGGTGTTCCTTGGCATTCTTCGCCTCACTTATCGTCCTCCTCTGCCCTGTGTCTCTGTGATTCCTCCGCTGTTTGTATGACTCAGAAGTGATTAGCATCCACCCCATTCTGGAATGGCCCCATTAACTTCAAAGAAAAACCCTATTTCTAAACGGGATCACATGTACAGGTCCAGAACTTAACACCTGTTCGAGGGCGGGGTGGGGGTCCCTACCATGTTATGTCAGTACATATACTGATGTTGATCACTGCACTGATGTGTAAGATAATATCCACGTGAAATACACAGGGAAGTATTTAAAAGTAAAAGCCCTGATGACAATTTACTGTCAGATGGTTCAGGAGAGAAGTGTGTGTGTAGTGAAAGGAAACAGGGAGGGGTGGGAGGAGAAGGGGAGAGGGAGGGAGAGAGGAGGCAGTGCTATGGTGGATGGGCAGGAGGTTAGCCCACTACCGTCGTTGATTCGGACTCAGCGCCCCCAGAGAACAGAGTGGAACTGCCTCTTAGGCTTCCCAGGCTGTCAGTCTTAAGGAAGCTGACTGCTTTGTCTTTCCCCTGCGGAGGGGCTGGTGGGTTTGCTTCTCCGACCTTTTGGTTAGCAGCCCAATGCTTTAACCACAGCGCCACTAGAACACCTTTAGGCAAATCCAGGTTAAGGGGCTACTTCTTGCAACATTTCTGTACATTTGGAGCTGCTACATCCACATGAGAACTTCAGTGTGTGAGTACGGGGTGAGGAACATGTTTGTAATTACCTTGCCTATCTGTCCTGAGGGTCTCCAGCGACCCTGTTCAAGCTGAAATGTACAGAATAAACCTGCTGAGGGTCTTGAGGCTGTTTAAGGGCTTGTCTACATAAATATCAGCTGTATGAGCCTTTGCTTCTCGTTGCAGGTGAATGAGAACTTTGCCATCGACTTGATCGCCGAGCAGCCCGTGAGTGAGGTAGAGAGCCGTGTGATATCTTGTGACGGCGGCGGAGGCGCTCTGGGCCACCCGAGAGTGTACATAAACCTGGTACGCCGGCCTCGTCAGTTACCGCCCTCAAGCGTGTTGTGATGGCTGCTTAGTGGGAAGCCGTCCCCTTCACTGCCCCCCCGGCCCCCCATCTTTCTTTCCTGCTCTGCACCTGCTCAGGTAGTCAGTCTTTCCAGGCTTTGAGTAGATGGCTCGTCACCCACCTGGTCTTGCCTTCAGAGCCACACTCTGTGAGATGACAGTTCCGAGGGGGCTTGTTAGGCATTGACGTGTTCAGATGGGACGGTGTCATCAGCACCCACTCTCCAGTGTGCAGGCGTCGGCCTTTCCTCCGAGCCCTCCTCATTTTGTTCCCTTCATATCCAGTGATGGGTGTAATACCTAGATGGGTGTAAAATACAGGGCCAGCGAAGAAGGAAAGGCCATGAGATAGGGGAGCAGAGGGGAGCAGGGGGTGGAACCCCAACGTGCATGCAGCCTACAGGAAGGGAAGGAAGTGGGCTGCAGGCTGGTCAGTCAGGGCACCTGGTGCTCCAGTCCTTGGCTGAGAGGACTTTATCCGGGGTTCCTTTAGAAAAGCTGTCATTTGGCTTGGCTGCTTGTCACGAGAGGGACATTGTGAGACGTGTGCACTGTTAACAGCCTAGAGCAGGACCCAGACCCATCATGGCCCCTTCTGTGTGTGTCCTGGCAGGAGCCTGGCCCCTGGCCCCAGGGACTGAGCTTGGATATGGCGTCACAGTCCTCTCAGGACCCTTGTAGCCCATGTGGCGGCCCCTTGAGATGGAAGCATATTACGGAGCCCAAGCCTGAGGCTGGAGGGTGTCTGGACTCCAGCCCATAGGCCCCAGGGAGAGCCGGGTTTGTCAGACACAGTTGGTTCATTTTAAACCTCGTATTGCAAAGCTGCGTATCGTTGACAGCATATTTCAAGTTGGTACCAGGTTTAACATCTGCTTGTTTTGGGTTTTGAAGTAGAATATGGAAATACGGAATCTTCACTTTTGAATTTTTTTCAGGACAAGGAAACAAAAACTGGGACGTGTGGTTACTGTGGACTCCAGTTCAAACAGCACCATCACTAGAGAGAACGGTATACCCTTGGTTGGTCCTTGCTACATGGAGCAAGTGAGCATCGTGATGTGAAATGAATGACGTATGTCGCGATCACGAGAGCTGCATTTCGGAATTGTATTTGAATAAAGCTGCTACTGGAAAAGATGAGCGCTCCTAAGTTCATTTGTTTTTACATAAAATGAACTTTGTAAAGTGACCGTTTACTTAGGAATGAGAACTGGACACAGGTCCCAGCTTGAGGGTGAAGCCTCTGACAGCCACCTCCAGGGAGGCTCTTCGGCCCAGGAGCAATGCTGGCCACTAAAGGAACCAGGAGGGAAAAAGCACACAGAATCCTGTTATTTTACAGACAAAACTGAGAGCTTGGGTGATGTCCAGGACCACCTATGGAAGAGGGGACCTGCCAGGATCGATCCTCATTTCATCTGACTTGAAAGCTCACTCTGTTTTCCTGTTACAGGCAGTCCTAGCTTAGGAATGGTCGACATGCTTGGCTTACGTAACCTGTAGCCTATTGTATTAAAATTTTGAACAATGGTTCGTAATAAATGGGTGTTATTTTGTGGCACAGATCAAAACATTATAAAAGAGGTTTTAGTGTATCTGGAAGTGTTTCTAATGTTTCTATGCATAGGAAGCAGGACTTCAAACTCTATCATCCAGTTCATCCCTTAGTGAGGATAGCGTTTCCACACTGGTACACTGAATCAGTCTATGTTTTGATGCCCAGGTAATTCTTACGTATGTGTATGTGTTACATTGGATTATAATTGAGGATACTGGGGTGGAAATTAAAATTTTCAGCAGGAGGTCGAACCAAAATGAATGGGTTCAAAGCCCTGATAAAAAGGTGCGTGGGCGTGCCTCATCTCTTTTGTTGCACTTTGCTTTATTACGCTTTGCAGGTACTGCATTTTGTAAAAATGGACGATTTGTGGCAGTCCTGTGTCAGACAAGTCTGTTGTTACCTGCTGTCGAGTTGGTTCCATCTCATAGTGACGAGCCTCCACAATAGGACGAGAGAAACACTGCCCAGCCCAGTGCCGTGTCACCGTCAGAGCCATGCTTGAGCCCCTCCCTGCAGCCACTGTGTCAGTCCATCTCACTGAGGATCGAACCTCTGTTGCCACCATTCTTCCAACAGCATGTGCTCACTTTCTGTCACATTTTGGTCATTCTCAAAATGTTTCAAACTTTTTCATCATGCTGTTGCATACTTTATGCATAGGAAGCAGGACTTCGAACTACGTCATCCAGTTCACAGCTTACTGAGGACCTGTGTTTCCACCCCAGGACACTGAGTCAGTCTACATTTGACAGGATTCTTCTGTATGGAAGGAGGGTTGGGCAATCTCCTTCCTTAGTGGTAGTGTCTTGGAAACCCAAGGAGGGGTCGCTATGAGTTGGATCTGACTTGACGGCAGTGAATTTGGTTTTTTTGGTTTGTATTGCACACTTAATAGACTACCAAAACAAAACCAAACCCACTGCCATTGAGTCAATTCTGACTCATAGTGACCCCAAGGTGGTAAATCTTTATGGAAATAGATTACCCAGTCTTGCTTCTGTGGAGTGGCTGGTGAGTTTGAACCACCAACCTGTTAGCAGTCAGATGCCTTAGGCACTGTGCTACCAAAGCTCCTAATAGACTACTTCTTGTTTGTTGTATGCCGTCGAGTCGGCCCCGACTCATAGCGACCCCTCCTTGGGTTTCCGAGGGGAGCTCTGGTAGCATAGTGGCTAAGTCACTTGCCTGCTAACCAGAAGGCTGGCGGTTCAAACCCACCAGCCACTCCTTGGAAGGAAGGTTGGACAATCTACTTCCGTAGTGATACTGCCTGGGAAACCCAAGGAGGGGTCGCTATGAGTCAGGTCTGACTCCACGGCATATAACAACAACATCACTACGGAAGTAGGATTGCCCAACCTTCCTTCCGAGGAGTGGCTGGTGGGTTTGAACTGCCAGCCTTCTGGTGAGCTGTCCAGTGCCTTAGGCACTATGCTACCAGAGCTCCTAATAGACTACAGTAAAGTATAAATAATTTTCACATGTGCTGGGAAACCAAGAATTTCTGTGGCTCGCTTTGTTGAGATACTCCCTTTATTGCCATGGTCTGGAACCAAACCTGCAATATCTCCGTATACTAAAATAAATTCTGACTGATGTTAAATACAAACCACACCTCCTAACTGTTCCAACTTTACACACAAAATCAGTTTAAAGACAGTCTTAGGAACAGAACGTAACGCAGAGACTGCCTGTACTTACACACAAAGTCAAATTTCCTCTCATCCTGATCTTTATGTTGAAATACGCTGTCGGAAAATCTAAGAACTTAAGGATCGATTTGAAAGCATTAAAAGTCACGTGTTGTGTAAATGTAGGCCAATCTGTGTATTTAAAAGAGCAGGGATTATAACACAAAATAAAAATCGAAGCAAATTATAAGGCAAGAGATACGAGACTTGGCAAAATGATCCAGAGCCCCGACTGGGGTCAGTGGGAGTTTCAGACACAAAGTGATGGAACAGATGGCACAAGAGGCTCTCATTTACGTGGTGGAAGAGCGTCCCTGGAGCTGAAGGAAAACCTGTGAATCACAAGGACACGCCAGAGTCCCATCAGACTTGTTGAGAAAACACAAAACTAGGTATAAAAGAACTCCAAATTCACTGCTGTCGAGTAGAGTCCGGCTCATAGTGATCCCTCCTTGGGTTTCTGAGGCGGTATCTCTATGAAAGTAGATTGCCCTGTCTTCCTTCCGAGGAGTCGCTGGTGGGTTTGAACCATCAGCCTTCTGGTTAGCAGTCCGATATTCTGGTTTAAAAAATAAAGATTAAGCTCAACTTTAGCATTTATAGTAGAAGAAAACCTTAGCTTCCAGATGAAAACGGTTATATAATGGAGAAATGACCCAAATGACACCCGACTTTTCAATACTAAGATAAAACAGTATCAATACTGTGGAATAGTCGAGACTCCTGTATGCAACCAAAGTAGAATTCACTCATGGTGAGAGACATGTTTATTATGGAAGGACTCAGAGCAGCACCCCTGGCCCCATCTGGGGTGCATATCTTGAGGAGGGCTTTCCCCACTGGCTAGGAGGACACTCCATATGGGGGACAAGGAAGGGAGTGAGCCATCACCAGTTAAATTTGCGTAAATGAGCCCAAACTAGATGGATGCACAGTCCAGAAGTTTATAGTAAATACTAATTAAGGCCTCTCCAGATAGCTAACTCACACAGTCCAGGACATAGTGAAGTGGGAGGAGAGGACGGCTAGGGGCTGTGAAGGTCTCATGGGGTGGGGTGGGATGAAGAAAAGGACGTGTTGTAAAGTTTGTGATTTAGGGGGCTACAGAGCAGGATTAAACAGGGAAAAAAAACTGAGGGCAGTGTTGGCTTACCCAGTAAACCAAGTAAGCACAGGCTTCCTTGTGTGACTTGCTAACTTCCTAGTAAGTGATTTCACATTTTTGCACCACATCAAAGATTCTGCTATGTATGGCCATCTGTCTTCCAACCCCACAGCACTTTCCAACCGAACCAAAGGCTCTTTTGAACTTTACAGTCCCTGACAGGGACAGAGTCCCCAGTATGCAAGGTAAGTCCGTTCACTGGGTAAGCTGGTACTTACCTTGCTTATTGGAAGATCTGTCCCTGGATGAGGGAAACGGTCACCCCTGATATCTAACAATGGGGATGTGTTTATGAACATAGGGTAAACAAAACTGTAGCGTTCAGGGTCCAGCCAAGGCAACTCCCAGGACAGGAAATCGAATGCCACCAGTTGAAGAGTAAACCAACTGTGAGGTAACCCAGGTAACGGCTGGAGGCTGCTACCAGCCCTGTGGCTTAAGGGACAAGGGAGAAGGGGGTGTTCTCAGACTTAGGAGGCAAGGGCAACCAGAGGGGGGTGGGCCACTGAAGAGAGGCAGCCCTGTGCAGGAGAGGAGAAGTGTCCCGCCAACTTACAGATGGGGCCTTCCATTTCTAGTTTGCTAAGAGTCCTTCACCTAATGTTCAATTTTAGCAAATGCTTTTTCTTCATTTTTTTTTTTTTTTTCTTTTAAATACGTTCATGTGCATTACATTGCTTTTTCCGTAGGCAAGCCATGATCATTCCTGGATAAGCCCAGCTTGTTCATGGTGTGGTAGACTTTCCATGTAGCTAGATTTATGTAACCAACACCTTGGTTGGGATTTCTGCATCTAAGTTAGGCTGAGACTTTTAACTTTCCCTTTCACACACTGTCCTTCTTGGGTACATCTTAGTGTCGAGGTTGTCATGACCTTGAGATGGGGTTGTCATTTGTAGCTGCTGTCAAGTTGGCCCCCAACTCATGGTGACCCCATGGGGAAGGAAATGCTGTCTGGGCCTGCACCACCCCCTGATCAGTTGGGATTGAAATGTGATCCATAGGATTTTCATTGGCTGATTTTTGGAAGTAAATCACTTGACCTTCTTCCCAGTCTGTCCAAGTCTGGAAGCTCTCCCCAAACCTGTTCAGCATCCCAGCAGCTGTTCCAGTGAAAAACCCACTCAGTCCTTAAAATGAGATTAAGAGGATTTATTCAGGAAAAACACATCCAAATCTCTGACCCATGAAAGTGAGAACTAATGACTCCTATAAAAGAACTTTCAGGGAACAAAGAAATTATAATACATCACTTGGTTGGTTAGTCTTTGGTTGAGGTCACAAGGAAGACGGGTTGAGGTGGAGAATGGGCTTCTATTGGATAATTGACTACAGAGGCTTCAGGAACTAATTACAGAGGTTTTACACTGTAGTCACATATCCTTAGGTGGTATCATAAAACATCACTGGTGGGGTTTGAACAGCTTTAACCAGATGTCTCGGGAATTTGTGAAAAACTATTTTGGTACCAGTACCTCATTTCCTTGAAACAACTTTTTAAACAAAAACCTTTTAAGGTGCCTGGACAAACCTTAGATAAGACTGGCTTCCAGGCCCTTTTTAACCAATTCTCTTTATTAGATT